AAAAATTACCACAGAGTAAATATTGTTATTCTTTTATTTTTTGCAGAATAAAATTTGATTTGAATTTACATTAAAAATTTCAAATATGCTGCTGTCAGGTTTAAATATCGAAGAAAAAGAAAATTTTTTTAGCATATAAGGACAAGAAAATGAGAAAATTTCTTTTCACTATCAATAAAAAATGGAATAAAAAAGAAAAATTTTTCAATCATTTTGGAAAGAAAAAGAGAAACTCAAGGTGATAAAAAAAAATTGATAATTAAAAAAATATTTAGATGAATTTTTTTTCGATTGCTCCTCCTTTTCAATGTTCTTATCCCACGGTAAAAATTTTTTTTCAAATCAAACTAAATGATTGCTTTCAATTGAATTTATTTGATATCATTTTTTTTTTTGTATAGATAAAAATTAAGAAAACGGATAGTCATATTTAATGAAATTTTTGTTTTTTTTTATTTTTTATTTTTTCATAAAATTATGGTATTTTTATAACAATTCTATCAAATTACTCACTTAATGGTATTTTAAATATTCAAAGGCATCTTGTAATGCGGAGAAAAATTTTTCGCATAGGTGATGTATATATACAAGAAATTGAGGAAAAAGCTTTTTTATTATATTTTTTGAGTAATTTAATTTACATTTTTTCAAATGATAAAATTATAGTTTTTTAAAACTGATGATTTAAAAAAATGTTTTTCATTTGAAGACGTCGGGAATTTTTTTTAGCTAAAATCCAAATATTACATCATTATTATTATTATTATTATTATTATTATTTCTGTATTTTCTCATATAAGATCTTAATATAATGCATAGATAGCGAACTGCAACAAATTTTCTAATTCAATATGAAATTTTCCACTGACTATTAAATGTTCATCCCTCCTTTGCAATTATTTTTGAAACTGTTTCTAAGAGGTTTTTTTCTGTAATAGTTCCACAGGGTAACATATACATTTTTCCATTTTTTATTATTGCCAGTCAATGAAATATGACGATTAATAACTTGTATTCTTGGTATAATTGTAATATTCTTTAACTTCCAAAGCCTTATTATTTTATTAAATTAGCTTTTAAATTACAATTTTATAATTTGGTTAATTTTAGTTATTTCATTTTGCATATACTACTATTATTATTATTATTATTATTATTATTATTATTATTATTATTATTTTTTTTTGATTTCTGGCGTTTACACATTTCTTTCCGGGTCCCGCCCAGGGACCTAAGGTTAGAAAAATGGCATCATGACACTTTCCACTGACAAAAAAAAAAAAAAAAAACATAGATAAAAGCCCTTCGTAAAGTGTGGGCTGTACTTGTCAGAACAATTTTTTTGTATCTCCTTGAGGCATGGACTTCCAGGAATCCCTTCAATTAGTCTACTGCAATCTTTTTCAAACCAGTCCTAGGGCTCCAACTACAACAGGGATTGTTGATGTTCCCATATGCCACATTTTCGAGATTTCTATTTCAAGGGCCTTGTATTTTGACAACTTTTTGAATATCTTCAAAGATACATTGCAGTCAGCAGGTACTGCCATATCAATAAGGAGGCACCGTTTTTGTTTGTGGTCTTTAATAACAATATCTGGGCGGTTGGCCTTGATTGTTCTGTCAGTGTGTATTGTGTAGTCCCATAGAATTGTAACAGTCCCATAGTCCCATAGAATTGTAACAGGTAATCGGGTCTGGGTGGTGTTCATACCAGTTTCTTTCAGTTTCCTTCCCGTAGAAGTTGCAGATTTTCCAGTGCAGATATTGGCCCACTCTGTCATGTCGGGTTTTATATTTAGTGGGTGCCAACATCGTGCAACCTGATACAAGATGATCAATCGTTTCTGGATATTTATCACAGAATCTGCATTTTGGGCTGACACAATATTTTTTTAGTATATGTGCTTGATAATTCCTAGTTAGCAAGCATTGGTCCTGCGCAGCAAGGATAAAACCTTCATTTCCGCTTTCAACCCTGCACTACGTAGCCACTGATGGGTACGGGTTTTGTCTACGTCAGCTTGTTTGGTACGGGCAGAGTATTGGCCATGAAGCGGTTTATCTTGCCATCGCTTCTGTATCTGGTCGGTTGCATTCGTCTTTTTTGTTTTTTTTTTTATTTTTGCAGTTTCAGCCGGTGTATTGTGCTGTAGTTGCATCTCTACGCCCATTTGAAACTCCATTTTGAATTTGTTGGCTTCTTTCATTTACGGAGAAAAAAGACGCTTACTACTTTCATGTTCCTTGACGCATACCATCATCCAGTCTTCTGTAGTTTCCAAATATCTTTGGAGGCCAATTGTTGTAATTTTGTAGGACAGTTCTAGTTGAACTAATCCTCTGCCTCCTTCGGATCTGGGCACATACAGACGATCAACATCAGCTTTGGGAGGATGCATGCGATAGCAAGTGAGAAGCTTTCTCGTTTTGACGTCCATTCACTTAATTTCAGCTATGGTCCAGTTAAGGACATTAAAGCTGTATTGCATCACAGGGTCAGCCAATGTGTTTATGGCTGATATTCTGTTTTTTGAGTTTAGCTCAGTATTTAGTACCAGACGTACACGCCTGTAGTACTTTTTTTTTTTTTTTTTTTTTCCTTCATTTGGGGGGTGTTGTATGCCATCTCCTTCTAATTCCTAGGTACTTATAAGCTTCATCATGCTCCAGTTCCCCTTTGTTCAAAATCTAAATCTATTAAAAAATATTGTTTCTGTAATTCTACCTTTCTTGGATGTTACTTTTGCACATTTATCTAATCCGAAGTCCTGAATGTCGTCACTGAAGTATTTTACAATAGTGAGGAGGCCTTTCAACGCATTGTCGTCTTTGGCAAAGAGTTTGAGATCATCCATGTAGAGTAGGTGATTGAATATTTTCTTATTTATTTTTATTTCTACTGTTGTTCAGTTCATGTGTAAAAGGGATTAAGGATAAACAAAACAGAAGAGGTGACAGAGAGTCTCCTTGAAAGATTCCACGTCGGATATTCAGACGTTTGGATATGGCAGTGCCCCCGGTGTGACTAAGGTATAGTTTGGTGTTCCACATTCCCATGCTGTGCTTAAGGAAATTTAATACCACAATTTTTTCAGACTTTGTACATTTCCAAAGTCTTAAGGATCCAAGAATGTGGAACACTATCAAAGGCTTTACGATAATCAATCCACGCTTCACTATTATTATTATTATTATTATTATTATTTTCTGCTTTCCTGTGTGATACAATGTTTTACCAAATCACTTCATCTGATTTAAAGGTTTCTTTTTTTCTTAGATAAAGATCTCCTTTTTTCTTAGATTGTTTGGGAGAGTTTCTCTGATAAGGCGAACGGCGCTCATCAGTACAATCTTATATATCTCATATATATTCTTTTCAAGCATTTATAGAGCTTCATTTTTGTTGATGTTATTATTATTATTATTATTTTTAATTTTGCTGTTGTTATTGTTGTTGTTGTTGTTGTTGTTGCAGAGAGAAAATTGAAAAGATCATATTAGTTATGGATAAGGCCTGCTTTCAACCAGTATAATTTTCTCTTTTGTTAGTGTTCTTATTCAGGAGAAGAGAAGAAAGTGCAGCGACTAAAATAGGCGAGTAATGATGATGATGATGGTGGTGGTGGTGGTGGTGGTGATGATGATGATGATGATGATGATGATGATGATGATGATGATGATGATGCGAGAGTGACCATTCAATATTGTTGTTGTTGTTGTTGTTGGCATTAAAGCAATTTGGCAAAGATAATAATTGAAAAGTTAATGCGAAAATGACATAAATGTTAAGGAGTTAATTAAAGAAAAAACAGAACGAAAAAGAAAATTAAGAAAGAAATTTTGAAAGAAAGAAAGAAAGGGATAAAAGAAAAGAGGAAGTAAAAATGAAGGAATGATAGACATAATAACTAGAGAATAAAATTAAAATGACGAAAGAAGAAAGAAAACAAATAAATAGACTCTTCAGAAATTAAAAGAATGAAAGTCAGTAAGTAAAAAAAGAAAGGAAAGTTCAAAGGAAATTAATGATATAAAAAGAAATAAAACAGTAGAGTAAAGAAAGAAAGAAAGAAAGAAAGAAAGAAAGAAAGAAAGAAAAATTTTAAGATTTAAAAGAAATAATTTAAAATTTTATAAAATATTAAACAAAAAAAAAAATGAAAATTTGAAAACAAAAGAAAAAATAAAAAGAAAAAAAAGAAAGAAAATTGGAAAGAGAGAAAAGAATGAATAAAGAAATGTCGATAAATCAATAAAGAGTTACGTAAGAAATCTAAAGAAAAAATAAAATTTTGTAAAGAAAAAGAATGACGTAAAACAAAGGAAGTATAAAACATAATTAATAAAGAGAAAGAGAGAAAGTAAAAGAACAATGGAAAAAAAAAAAAATTTAGAGAAAGAAAAGAATAGAAAAAAAATTGTAAAATTTTTCTTTCTATGAAATAACAAGAAAGAATAAATGGCCGAAAAATTCCTGTTAGAAAATAGACTTCAAAAGAAAAACACGATTTTTGTAGTTAATATATTCAGTTTTTAATATATGCTTATATTTATCTCGAATTTCCTTCTATTTCTTTTCTTTTTTTTTTTTTTTTCATTTTATTTTATTTTTCTTTTTTTTTCTTTTTTTTTTAAAATTTTTTTTCCTTTTCCTTCTTTTTTTTTTTTTTGAAAAATTTTTTTCTCTCAATTTTCCTTCCTCTTTTTTTTTTTCTTTCATTTTTTTCCAATCGATTTCCCTCCTCCTTAAATTTCTTTTCTTTTTTTTAAATTTATATTTTTTTTTTTCTTTTTTTTTTTTCTTTTATTTTCATTTTCCTTTTTTCTTTTCTTTTTTTTAATAAATTTTTTTTTTTTTTTTTATATATGTTTATCTGTCACTAAGTTTTTTTTTCTTCATTTGATTTTTAAACTTTTCATTTTTCTTTTCTTTTTTTCTTTCTTTTTTTTTTTTTTTTTTTTTTCTTTTCATTTATTTTTTGACTCCTCCTAAATAGTTTTTCTTCCTTTCTTTCTTCACGACTTTTGTACTTATTTTTTCCTTCCTTAATCGTTTCTTCTTTATTGTCTTTCATGTAACATTGCATTTTACTCACATCTTCCTTACTTTCTTTGCTTTTTTGTCATCCCTGAAATCTTTCTTTCTTTCTTTCTTTCTTTTTTTATTTATTTATTTATTTATTTCTCCTGTTACAAATATTGTCTTTCTTTCACTGCAATTCCTCTCCATTTTTAGAAAGACACCTCATTGTCTCAGAACACTATTTTGCATACCTGCTTTTAAAAATCTTTTCTTCTGGTCTTTCTTTTTCAGTTTTCTTTTTATTCTAAATTTTTCCTTTTCTTTTCTTTTTCTTTCTTTTTTCTTCTTTCACCAAACCTTTGCTTATCAGTCCCTCTCCTTTCTGTCCTTCCCCGTTTTCTTAATTTTACGAAGTTTTAATCAGTCAGTCACGTTCAGACAGGTCAACGGCAATACGTTGAAACATGTCGAATAAGTCGACGACCATGCACCAAACCGGGCGGCGAACCCGTGAGAATGGTCCATCATAATGTCAGTAAAAATAATTCGTTCATAAACTAAATAGACGATCTACGTCATCTGGTAATGCAAGGAATGGTGAATTATTATTATTTTTTCTTTGATTTCTGGCGTTTACACATTTCTTTCCAGGTCCCACCCAGGGACCTAAGGTTAGAAATGGAATCATGACACTTTCCACTGACAAAAAAAAAAAAAAAAAAATAATAGATAAAGCCCTTCGTAAAATCATTGGGCTGTACTTGTCAGAACAATTTTTGTATCTTAATGAGGCATGGATTTCCAGGAATCCCTTCAATTAGTCTACTGCAATCTTTTCCAACCAGTCCTAGGGCTCCAACTACAACAGGGATTGTTGAGGTTCCCATATGCCACATTTTCGAGATTTCTATTTCAAGGTCCTTGTATTTTGACAGCTTTTTGAATATCTTATTTTTGAATAAGATACATTGCAGTCAGTAGGGACTGCCATATCAATAAGGAGGCACTTTTTTTTGTTTGTGGTCTTTATCTATTATTTGGTCTTGACTGTTCTGTCAATGTGTATTGTGTAGTCCCATTACTATTATTATTATTATTATTGTTATTATTAATAATATTATCATTGTTGTTGTTGTTGTTAGGTTGAGTCATAAATCATTTCCGTTTTCGTTTACCAAGTTTATTCTTCAAAGAATAAAATACAACTACATTTAATTCGATTGTATATCCAGCATGTCCTGAAAAGAACACAAGACAAACGCATTTGTACAGGGCCTAGTAACACAACTGGCAGTCCCCAATGAGCCCCTCTTGACGAGAAAGCTGTTTTGGCTTGGGTATGTCATACGTAACAATACTCTACACAAGACCTTGGAAGTGGGATAGACTTAGGTGGAGGCAGTTGATTTCATTTGATAAAAAAATATCAAAAACACCAAATTTATGTTGGATTATATGTCTTTTAGGACTGGCCAAGGCACTGTGGAGCAGATCTTCAATTGCCGCATTTTGATGAAGAAACATGCAACATTAGAGGGATCTGTTCCATAAATTATAGATTTCAAGGACGGTGGGACATGACGGTCTATGGCAGATCCTGAGGAATTTCGGCATAAAGAAGGGCCCCATGCAAACTATCGAGGCACTGTATAAGACCTCCAGTATTGCGGTCCCCCTCAACTCTCGGGTGGGTGACTATATCAAGACGACAGCTGGCATCCATCAGGGCTGTTTCCTTTCTCCAACATTGTTGACTCTCTTTCTTGAGAACACCACACGAGAAACCCTCCAAGATTTTCAGTTCACTATAGCCATAGAAGGAAGAATCATTAACGACATTCTTCGCTGAAGACATTGATTTGTTGGGCGGCAGCAACTCCCAAATGCAGGGTCGCACCAACAGACTAATAGCCAGAGCAGTAGCGTATGGAATCCAAGTGAGTACTGAGAAGAGTAAAGTCTTTGTCAACAGCACAACCAGACCAAAGCCCAGATCTTCATAAACGGAGAACAACTGGAAGAAACGGACACCTTTAAATACTTTGGCGTTAACTTCACCAAAAAACAGACGCTCTACAACAGAGATCAAGACCAGACTGACTATAGCAACATTGGCAATGGCAAAACTGAATAAGATTTGGAAGAGCAAAACCATCAGCTTTCCAACAAAGATTAAGATCTACAAGTTCCATGTGCTGTCCATACTGTTCTATGGATGAGAAAGCTGACATTTGAAACGAAATGCTTCAGACGCCTTCTCAGAAACTCTTGTAGAGAACACAAGACAAATGCCTTTGTACAGGGCCAAGTACCAAGATCCCCTCTTGGCAAAAGTAAAGAGAAGAATGTTTTTGTGGTTTGGGTATGTCATACGCCAGAATACTCTCCCCAAGAAGACCCTTCAAGTTAACTTGGAAGCGGGTAGATGTAGAGGGAGGCAGTCCAAAAGCTGAATGGGCAACATCAAAGAATGAACCAGGATGGACAATCCGAGGCTGTTCTTGAGGCAGAAGACTGATCTATTTGGCAGCGACTGGCTCATGTCCTCTATGATCTCATTTATATATATATATATATATATATATATATATATATATATATATATATAAAATATATATATATATATATCAGTGTATATATATATATATATATATATATATTTTGAACAATAAAAAAATAAAAATCTTTAGGCACACTGGGTTGTAGATTAATATTCTTTCTTTTTTTTATTATTATTCCATTTAGATTCCTCGACTAGTTTCGGCCAAAATGGCCATCATCGGCAGGAGAAATATTTCTGCTTGCTGTTAGCACTAAACTACAGAAATGAATTCCTTGCTGGAGAACTGTATGTATATATATCAGTGTATAAATCTCCTAAGGCAAGCATAAAAATGAATACACTATGGGAATCAGTGATACGGCGTGCTAGAGAAAAGCTGTAATAACAACAAAATTGCAATATGAGCTCTGGTAAAAAAATGTCTACTGGGATATTACGTATATAAATCCCAAGTATTCATAGACTGGTGCCCTCAAGGACACATGACCAGTGGCTGGTTGGATCCAGTGACTTGACTGAAAGAGTTGCGAGTGTAATGCCTGGCTACTGCAGTGGTGAATAAAAACTTGGAGTGTTGAGTGTAAGGGAGATAGTTATCTCCCTTACACTCAACACTCCAAGTTTCCGAGTCATACGGAAAAGGCAAGGCACGTGGAACTAGAGCAATCTACCCCGCTTGATGAAATAAAGGGCACAGTTCGAAATTCCAATCACCTGAAGAAGACCGGAGCGTACAATGGCGGAAACGTCATGAATATAGCAATAAAGATGAAGACAATAGTCCGAACAATGCAAATAGTGGAATAGTAGTAGAGCTGGACACTCGTAATCGAGGATACCCGTCTACTAGGGCCGCTAGCTAATCCCTATTACAGACGTTTTCTCAGGCGTATTTGTGTTTATTGAACACCCACAGAACCAATTTGTTGTTTATTCTGGTTTATACTGCAATGATGCTGAGCGTACCTTAGTTACAGTTTCTGGGAAAGATCTTTGAACAAGGATAGCACGTACAAGCCCTCGGCCACGATGACTTGTGACTTCGTGCTAACATAAAGAATAGTTGAATAACGAGTTCATAACGCAACTGAATACAAGGTAAAGAAATATTTATTATCCTTCCTAAAACATTTTTCTAGCCTTCCTGTCGGCAAATCTTTTCATGAAACTTTCTTCAACTATCTTCTTAACAAGATCGTTTTCTATTGACAAAATAGCCAATGGATTTAATCTGTCTAGAGTCATAGACTACCGCATGATTTTTTAGATTTACTAAAACTTCTCTCTGCGGTGGCCATATTAATGAGTATAGTAAGCATTATTCCCAATGCAATCCACAGATTTGGCATGACATTCTGTGACTTATTAGACTTTATGAACCTAACAGCTTCTTTTGCAATATTCAGTTTATTCAAGCGATCAATTCTAGTTCCACGTGCCATGCCTCTTCCGGATGCTTCAGTTATTTCCATTTAACTCAACTCTCTAAGTATTTGTTCGCTACCTCTGCGTCCTGAGAACACTCAAAAAATTTTTCGTCTAGTCACTGGATCTAAGCAACGTCTCAAGGACACATGGGCCAGTGGATAATGACGTTGGTTTGATCAAGTGACTAGACCTAAAGAGTTGTGAGTTCAATACCAAGCTACAGCAGTGGTGAACAAAAAAAAAATAAATAAATAAATAACTTAGTTGAATTAAAGGGAAAAAATATGAGGCATGGCACGTGGAACTAGAACAATCTGCCCTGATGGACGAAATAAATTGTTCGGTTCGAAATTCCAATCAGCTGAAGAAGGCCAGAGAGTACAACAGCCTAAATGTTGTGGATATGGCAATGAAGATGAGAATAACAGTACGAATAATGTAAATAATGCAAATATAATCAAACTGTTATCCTTCCATACAAACATAAACAAAAGGTTTACAAGGAAACTCCTGTCAGTACTAAAGTGATAAAAGCGTAATTGAGAAGTCTAATTTCCTGAAAAAGATTTAATAAAAAAGATTTAATAAATTTCTACCGAGGGTAATGCTAATTCTTTCGGTCAATGAATACCGAATGCTTTCTGTATGGAATAGCTAATGTCACCATTAACATATTAATAATACTAGGAAAGGCATGAACATATTTGTATTGGCCGGCTATGGGTTAAATAGTTGGAAAGTTTGGGCTCTGTAACCTTGTATGGACGATAGTTGAATTCAAATCTTTAGAAAAAGCGACGGGGAAAATCAGTGGCGTAGATAGAGTAAACGTCACCCGGGGTGGTCCGCTCAAATGTCACCCCAATGACCCCGATTCACCCTTATTCTGAATGGTTAGCTGTAGCTAAATTTTCATACATGCTCTACCTCTACTTTATTCTACTGACCGGTACGTTACTGTTTACATGTATGATCCAAGACAAAATCCAATACCACAAAATAATCAGTTCAAATCAAAAGATTTTTAAAATGCAACTGTTCACTTTCAGAACAACTAAATACAAAACACGGCAATACGCAAAAGAATGACATTCGATACTATGGTCTTAGAATGAATGTTTTCTTGTTTTCATTGTGGCAAACTGGTCAATGAGATCGTCAAAATCTGTTTGTCTTGTAAGCTCGTTTTCAATGGACAGCACAGCCAGATCCGACAGTCTCGACTGGCTCATGGTTGACGTAATTTTCTGTTGCTAATTTTCCGGTGTCTAATTTTCCGATGCATCATTTTCTGGGTACCATTTAATTATCAATGATGTTTGAAAAATATTTTCTTGACAAAAAATGTTCTATTTAATTTTTAAGCATTTTTCGGAACATTGTAAATCAACTGCATTCTTTTTTAAAGGTTACCTAGAGAATTTATGCAAAGTTTATTTTTTGTTTTTTTTATACAAGTAAAATAAATTTACTTCGTATTTTGA